AAAAAAATAACTCTAAATTCATGCATTAAACATTTTTAATAATTAAAAGTTCATAGTACTCAAACAATACATAATATAAAATGTCTCCAAAACAAAGTGTTAAAGCTCTAAGTAAGTAAAAAATTAAACATTATAGTTTAATCTTCTTCCTCATCAAGATTAAAGTCTTCCTCTCCCTCAAATTCATCACTCCCACTAGCATTAGAATTATATTCTTCTTCTTCCTCTACATCATCATCCTCGTCTTCTAGTACTTCCATCACTTTTTTTCCTTTATCTTTCTTGGATGTAGATGCAATTGTTGATGTCTTGTTCACTTGTGTTTGTCTCCTAGTGTATTTCAAAGGTTCACCGGCACCACTTGCTTGGGCAACATCTCTCCAAGTCAAAACATCATCATCAAACACCAAGTCATCTTCAAATTCATCCTCATCATTTTCTTCTCCCAACATCCATTCATTGTTATCATCAACTTCATTCAAAGCAATTGGATCAATTGGATCTTGACACTCAAAGCGTTCTTGAAGAGCTTGATTATATTTAATAAAAACCAAGTCTTGAAGCTTTTGGTGCTCAAGCTTACTTCTCTTCTTTGAGTGAATCTATAATAATTTAACAACATGATGTTAGTTAATTTTCCATTTTCAATAGTAAACTCAAATTTAAATCCACTAATTCATTAACTTACATGCTCAAAGGTACTCCAATTACGCTCACAACCAGATGAGCTACACGTCAAGCTTAGTACCTTAATGGCAACAATTTGCAAATGTGGTGTATGTCCTCCATACATCTTCCACCACTCAGCTATAAATGCAAATATTATTATATAAATAAATTATCAAATAACTATAAAATTTGTAAGTGAAGTTGAAGCTTAAGAAAAGTCTCACTTACCAGGAGCCATTTTAACCCTTGCTCTAACTGTTGCAGGAATGCCAAATCTTCCTCCTACCCTTTTATATATTGCCAATTGATTGTGAACATTGTCTACAATGTCATTATTTTCACAAAGTCTATCAATACATTTGAAAAGGTCATCCACCACTTCATCAGCACCCATTCTTGTTGAATTTTTATAATAAAACTCAAGATTTAGATAATATCTTGTTGCATGCAACGGATGATGGAGTTGACAATCCCATCTTCTATCAACAATTGCAAATATATCCTTATATTTTTCTTCATTATGATTAAAAGAAATTTGAATTGCCTCCTTAGCCCTCTCCATTGCTTCATAAATGTAACCCATTGCCGGTTTTTTTTCATTATCTACCAACCTCAACACGTGTACAATAGGCCCCATAGCCTTTAAAGCATAAACAACATCACTCCAAAATGTAGGCATAAGAACAATATTCGATATTTTCTTCCCCTTAGCTTCTTTGGCTCCTTTTGATTGCAACCATTCGTCGGAAGTAAACATCCTTCTAAGAGGGGTATAAATGTCAAAGGTCCCCTTGATTTGCACTTTACTAGAAAGGCAGAAGAAAGTATCAAATTGAATAAGGGGTTGTGGCAAACAAGTTTAAATGATGCTTGTAACAAGGAAGCAAGAGCAAGGGTAATTCAATACATTGCTCGCTTTTTTTATCGGAATGGAATTGCATTTAATGTTGCTAGATCAAAGAGCTTCAAATTGATGGTTGAAGCTATTGGCACCTATGGTCCCCATTTAAAGCCACCAAGCTACCATGAATTAAGAGTGCCACTCCTTAAAAAAGAGTTGGAATACACCAAGGGCTTATTGAAGGGCCATGAAGAAGAGAGAGTAAAATATGGGTGCTCAATTATGTCTGATGGTTGGACAGATAGGAAAAGTAGAACTTTGATTAACTTTTTGGTAAATAGTTCAATGGGAACAATGTTTGTAAAGAGTGTAGATGCTTCTGAATATACCAAGACCGGTGAGAAGGTGTTTGAACTTTTGAATAGTTTTGTTGAGGAAATTGGAGAGAAAAATGTTGTTCAAGCAGTAACAGATAATGGAAGCAATTATGTTATGGCGGGTAAGAATCAATTATATTCTAATTTTATACTCATACTCCTTAGAAGTTTCAGCATCATTTTCCGGCTGGGGGGCAGCAGTCGGTTCAGTAGCATCTGGATTGGCTCCCTGAGGCATATCGGAAAAAGACATCAGTGACCCTTGATAAAAATCTTGGGTCATATCAAACTCGAAGCCCTCTTCAAATTGGCCGAAATGCTTAGCCTGCTGATCCGCGTGCTTAAACTCAGCTTCATGTTGAGCAACAATCTTCTCCTTAGCCTGCTCCTTAAGACGGTTATACGCGGCTTGAGCTTCATCCAGTCGGCGATGCTCCTCATTAGCTACCTTTTGAAGGTCAAGGCGAAGAGTGTCATTGTCTCGCCGAACAGCATCCAACTCGGCTGACAATTCTCGATTTTTGGCCGTTACTTCTTCATTCACTGCAATCGCCTCAGCCGCAGTCTTCTCGGCTTCCTCTAGACTTTGCTTTAAAAGCTTCACCTCGCCGATAGGCTCCATAGCTAGGTGATGAGCTAGTACCAAGGAGCGAGTTTGTATCTCGCAGAAATGTCTCCATTTGGCCCTCACGTCCAAGGTAGCCAAGAACTCTTGCTCGAACGGAGACACCATGTCTGGCCGAATCACTGCCTCGGCTGAGGCGTCATCGCTTAGAAAAGCCCGAGACATTAATTGAGGAGGCACCACAATCACGGTCCGATTAGGCGAAGCTTCGGGAACTGATTTCGCCTTCTTTGCGTGCTCTTGCCTTTCACCAGAATTCTTTCTTTTCGAACGGTCCTGATTGGCATCTTTTCCACATAATAAAAATGCAAAATTCATTAGTAATAACAAAACATATAAGTAAATAAATAATTTATATAATTGTTTAGTTGACTTAATTACCAAATAATCTGACGAGATTCGATACTCAAAAAACTTGTCCTAGTTCTCTCCTTATCAATATATTGATAATGATGACAAGGGTTTTTATCTTTATTGTCACAAAAAATTTACTCATTGTTGAGTTGACTTTTAAAACCCTTACATCATTGTCAGTATAACCGACATATTTATTCCTTAACCAATCAACATTCACTAAAAGAAAAACGCAAATTTTCGACGTATATAAATCTGTTGGAAAGATATTTCCGTCAGAAATTTTTGAAGGATTTATATTTTCGTCAGAAAATTCTGGAAGAAAGATAAATCTGAAGGAAAATTTTTGATGGAAGATTCTGTCAAAATTTTTTGACAGATTTATATTTTCGTCGAAAATTTTTGATAAAATATAAATCCGTCGAAAAATTTAAGACCATAGCACACTTCCTAATGTCCATTGTTTGAACTCTTCGGGAATCCGATAATCGCTTTTTTTGTTTCCTTTAACT